TCCAGAAATTATCTCCCTCGGGCAAAATCACTGACCCGGCTGCGCTGGGCAATCTTCCGGGCCAGGCTAAGGGAAACACACCGCGGGTTAATTTCCGTTTAAATGTAAAATTTTCACCACTCACTTTTTGAAAATTCCACTAATCGGGTTTAACCCCACTCGGCCTAGATTCTAGCTCTGCTATACATTAGTGCCTCCGCTTCGGATGACCAGCAATTCTTATGTCCACGTTTTAGATTTTTTTCACTCCTATTTAATCCCTCTCACGCATGCCTGCCTTTACCAATACACCTAACTAATCCTTTCCTCTTCCTTCTTTTCTTCAGTAACGGAATCTCGCTCTCACCGATACTGTCCTACACCATAGTCTCCTTGGAAAACCGATAGATGGCGCTTCGACTCAGCCCTGGACAATCTCTCGCTGAGGTGGGACTGGAACACATCTACATATCTATATATATATAAAAGAAAGTCGTGTTTGTTACAACACTTATAACTCGAGAACGGTTGGACTGATGGCCATGGTTTCTGATTTGTTGGATTTGTTTCCGTCCCGAATAGCAGAATACATCTTAAAAACAATGAAAACTCGATATGTGTAATGAATACTTAATCATTTCAATAGATGCTGATTTGTTTATTACATGTCAGACATTTGTTGTCCAATCCTGTCAAATAGTGTAACAACTATTTTTTTTTTGTTTGGAGCTTATGGCCTGGTTGCTGAGACCTTTAAGCCACAACTGAATTTTTTTTTGAAGACATGTGTGCGTTCAGAAATTTATTTTTTGTAAAATGTCTACAAAGTTCAGGTACTGTTATATTTGTTTGTTTTAGACATTAATTTTCGAAAATTATTTATTAATTATTTAATTTTTAATTCCCGAAAATAATACCTAAGATTTATTCTACAGTAAAAACATAAAATCATCGGAAAGGAACGGAATTTAGGGAATAAAAATTCTGTTTGGTGGTTTTATGCGAGTGCACATTTTAATAACAATGCCGCGTCCTAGAAGATCTAATCTTTCCCAGCGAAGCCGTGATGCAATTAGGCAACGGAATATCGCGAGTCAATTATCTGATGGAGAACGAGAAATTGCACGAGAACAGCGCAATGACTCGAGATGTTTTGGTGGTGCAATGATTTTATTATCTGGGGATTTCCGACAAACACTACCAGTCATTCCAAGATCAACTGCTGCCGACGAAATAAACGCTTGCCTCAAAGCATCAAATCTGTGGCGATATGTAAAGAAACTTCAACTGTCTGTAAATATGAGTTGCATTGTTGAACGATCTATCTGCTGATGATTTCTCGAAGCAATTGCTGACTATCGGTAATGGCCGTGTTCCTGTTGACAAATCGAGCGGTTTGATTTCATTTCCTCCAAATTTTTGCAATTTCGTATCATCAAAAGACGAGCTTATCAACAAAGTATTCCCGGATATCATTGCTAACCACAAAAATACTAAATGGTTAAGAGAGCGAGCAATTTTGGCCGCTAAAAATAAAGATGTAGATGACCTCAATTTTATAATTCAAAATCAAATCGTAGGTACTCTGTATTCATTCAAATCTATCGACTGTGTAACAAACGAAGAAGAAGCCACTAATTATCCAACTGAATTTTTAAACTCCTTGGATGTGCCTGGCCTCCTCGGTAGTCATCATGCTTAGAAATTTAAACCAACCAAAACTGTGTAATGGAACGCGTTTGGTGATAAGAAAACTGATGAGCAATGTGATTAACGCGTCGATGCTTAAAGGAAAATTTAAATATGAGGAAGTTCTTATTCCAAGGATTCCGATGATCCCAACGGATATGCCCTTTGAGTTTAAACGAATTCAATTCCCGATTCGTCTTGCCTTCGCCATGACAATCAACAAATCACAGGGCCAATCCTTGACTATTTGTGGCCTCAATCTAGAAAATGCATGTTTTTCTCATGGTCAATTGTACGTGGCATGCTCACGTGTCGGCAAACCATCCGCTTTATTTGTTCTTGCGCCTGACCAAAAAATCAAGAATGTCGTTTACCACAAAGTGCTTGAATGAAAATCCTATTAATGAATTAATCCGAGTTTTATTTTTTTTTCCCCAATCTGCACAACATAGTTTTCAATCATTTTTTCTGACATGAGTTTGAAGTACTTAATTATTATTTTTTATTTTCTTTTATTTTTATTCTCATTCTGTATGTATGTTTTCATCATCATTCATCATAATAAAATACTTTTTTGTTTCTATCTATATAAATATATTATTTTGTATCATTGTTTTAAGTTCATCAAAGCTTAAATTAGTTCAGCTAAAAAGTAACACGACATTCATTGTCTGTTAGGCGGTACGAAGTGTGCCGGGTCAGCTAGTATTATGTATATTCTACATCTAACATGTAGATTAAACATGTACCATTTAGATTCTACATCTCCTCCGCTAGGGGTTGCTCGCACACTGAACGCGGCAGAGTGTGCGAGCGAGAAGGAAAAAGAGTTGCTTTGTCGTTGGCAGGAGGGGGCAGGGGAAGCAACTGAAAATTAATTTCTGCATTCTGGCTATAATTATGATCCGATCTAATTCAGATTCGGCAATCTGGTAGATATGGGCATTCTCTACGATACTGAACTTTTCGTTCTTTGTGTGGTCGGAAGGGGGCGGGGCGAAATTTTGAAATACACTTGTATCAGTGTTATATCACATGAGCGTGGAAACCAAATTTGGGTATAATTACGAAAATTTATTAACTGGTTATGTTGACTCTGATTGGGGTGGATGTGAGGATAATAGAAAAAGTACTACAGAATTTGTGTCTGGTTTCTCAGCTTCAAATTCCCCAATAAATTCCTCGATTAATAGCCAGTGGCGCAAAATAACGTGACTTCACCTTTGTTTGCTATTTGCATTGCCCACTGCATATAAATATTGTATCCGCTTATAATTACGCAATCTAATAGCCTATGCAACCGTTCTTTCGTCTCTTCGACTCGTACCTTTCTCCTTTACTTTACTATCTCGCTATATCACTCTCTCGATCTATCAGCTCTCTCGTTCTCTCGAACACTCCCTCGCTCGCTATTTCGTAGCATCGCGTAGGGCACGGGCAATTCGGTCCGTCTGCCCTAACATGCCTTCGCAATGGTCATGATCTGGTCCAGCACTTGCATGCCTTTGCAATCTCTCGAACTTTTCTGCCGTCGCATATATACATACGCATATATTCGGTGACACACGAATCGCGGGCTATATATGCATCTCGTTTACAGCTTTCTTGCGCTATCGTTCTCTTCATCTATGCTGATCTCTCGCATTCTTTCTCTCTATCTATTGCTCGTACTCGGGTCAGCAGCAGCCCGAGCTTCTCGTTCTCGTTCCCGTCTCTTACACGCGTACTCTTTGGCTTCATCGTCCCGCTAGAAACGTGTCTTACGCCGTCGCTATAATGGAGAGGGATGGTGCAAACGGCATTGCAGTTACAGCTTCGAAAAACAGGGTGACTTTCCTGAGAGTGAAAGTACCGGGAATCTTTGAAAAATTAAAAAAGTTGAATGCTACTTGGGAGAGTGAGTTGCCAGAGTGCGACTACTTTATGCTCATTGTGAGGCTAGAGGAGATCGAGGAGCTGCAGGGCATTTTTAAAACCCTGCACAACGAGCTTCAGAAGTTGGACTACGACAAGACCCGCATTGGATCGTTGGACAACTTTAATTATCTATTCATGACGCTGGATACTTCGATTCGACGCGAAATCGCTAATCGATTCCCCCACCTGTCTCCTCCTTCTACAGTATCAGCAAAAATTACTATTGGTAATATTGTGGGTTGGCAGCTTCCACTTCAGCGTCGGTCTGACCCGTGTCTACGCCGCATACAATTTCCAAGGGTATCGTCGGAAGACAGCAACGTTCAGTTTAAGATGGAGACATCTTCGGATTCGAGGAAACCTGCCTCGGGCTTAGCTGTGAGCCCAATGCAGCTGTTGGCAAAAGACGAGCATGCAGCAGTGCTTGCTGATGCGGAAACCCATCCCCGTGATGTGGACATACATGGTTTGGAACCTGGCTGCCACTTTCAGGAGGATTCTTACACAACTTCGCAGAATCCAAGTGGACCTTTACCATGAGATCAACTCCAATTGAGTGATTCTAGCGTGTCTGCTGTGTTCAGAGTCAGGATGGCGCTGGCGGGGCAACCGCTTTGTGGGCATTCCAGCCACACATCGCTGTTAGCGTTCCAGCTACACAAGCGGTCGCCCTCGCTCTCGCCCTCGTACTTAAACAAGATCCGAAGGGCTCCTTCGTCAGCAGCCCCGTCAGCTCTCGCCACTGCATCACAATGGCTCAATCCGCCACCTCAGTCGCTCGGACCAAATTGGTCGCCGCTATTGGCCGACTGTCGCACCTGGCAGAGCGCATCACCGCCGCCCCATCCGCCTCTTTGTCCGAGGTCCGTCGAGGCCAAATCCTCAGCATGTGGACGGACGTCGAGGCCGAATATAAGGCCTGCTCCGCGGTGATGACTGACGAGGAGCCAGAAATCCAAGCGGACATCCGTGACACATACGGTGAATGCTATGGGTATTTGAGCAGTGCCTCAGTGACCTCAATGCCCAACTGGCCACATCCACAGTTCTTCCTCCTTCACAGCCAGTCCAACAGGGCGGCTGTCGACTGCCCTCCCGTCAATATTGAGGCATTCACAGGGGACTACGTCCGCTGGCCCACATTCCGGGATCTGTTCACTGCGGTCGTGATCAACAATCCTAGATTGTCTCCGGTAGAGAGGCTGTATTACCTCACCGAGAAGACCCGGGGCGATCCGAAGGCCATCGTAGAGAAATCCCCCCTCACTAATGACGGTTTCGAGTCCGCATGGTCGGCTCTCCGCAGCCGATACGGAAATAATCGGCTTCTGGTGACCAACCAAATCAACATCCTCCTTTTTTTGCCCCGCGTAACATCCGAATGCAGTCGTGCCTTGAAGGATCTTCAAAGTACGATGCAAGGAGTTCTAAATGCGCTATCGGTCTCCAACGTCTGCACGGACAACTGGGATAGTCTGCTTGTCACCATTTGCGCTTCCAAATTGACGAAGTTGATCCGGGCGTTGTGGGAAGCGTCCGTAACGGACAAAAAAGAGGTGCCGCCCTGGACGGAAATCGACTCCATCCTCACTCAGCGCTATCTGACTCTCGAGGCTATTGAGAGCGACCCTTTCCACCTCCCAAGGGGCTACGAATCCGCCTCCCTCCAAGGGCGTCCAAAATCCACCCACCTCTCGCAACCACTCCAATCCATTCCGTTCGCAAGGCAGTCCGACGCCAAACAAGGTTCACTCGTTCAATACCCAAGTGAGTCCGAAGAAGCGAACGTGTGACCTCTGTTCCAAAGAGAATCACCCGATTCGAGTTTGTCCCCGCTTTCTCAACATGTCCGTTGATGCACGTTCCAGCTGCATTAAGAAAAAGCAGCTGTGCTTAAATTGCTTCGCAAGAGGTCATCTGCTTCGCGACTGCTCCAGCAGCCACAATTGCTCCACTTGTGGGGCCAGACATCACACGCTTCTGCATCGTGCCGCTCCTTCATCCAACGTAGCGGCTTCGATTTCCGCCCAAGCCCCCAGCTCATCCGAACCTCAGCCCAACGTACAGAGCTATTTCGCCTCCAGCACAAGTACCGTTCTTCTGGGCACGGCACTCATTAATATTTGTCACCTGGGGACCAATTTCCGTGGCCGCGCACTGATTGACTCAGGCTCCGAGGCGACGTTCATCACTGAACGTCTCTTTAACATTATTAAGCCACCGTTCGAAGCCATACAGGCTCAAGTCGCAGGTTTAAACCAAACCGTAGCGGCTAAGGCGCAAAGGCGCTGTCACTTCATGATCGGGGCCGCCTCCAGGCCTGTCCTCAAAATCGAGACCATCTTCGGATGGGTCCTATCCGGTCCGGTATCAGCTGACTCGACTCGGACGGTTTCCGCCTTCACCACGAAGCTCTCGTTAGATTCGGACGTCCGACTCGAGAAGCTTCTCACCAAATTCTGGGAGGTGAAGGACCTTCCGGGGAAACCGACGAGTGAGTCAGATTCGGTGTGCGAGGAAAACTTCCGCAAGACCACTAAACGAGCCCCCGATGGGAAGTATATTGTTACTCTCCCTTTCAAGTCTCCAGAAAATGTCGATCTAGGACACTCCAGGTGCGCGGCACAGGCCCAGTTCCTTAAAAACGAGCAGCGTCTGCAGCGGAATTTGCCGCTCAAAGAGCAGTACGACGCCGTTATCCAGGAATATTTAGAGCTAGGCCACATGACTGCGGTTACACCCAGTCATGACTCCGGCCATTACTACCTTCCGCATCACGCCGTGTTTAAACCCGACAGCACCACAACCAAACTGCGCGTGGTCTTCAACGCCTCCAGCCCGTCTTCCAACGGGAAAAGCCTCAACGACACATTGCATTCGGGGCCAGTCCTTCAGTCTGACTTGACTATGCAAATCCTGAGGTGGCGAGTTTTCCGCTATGTCTTCAATGCCGACATCAGCAAGATGTACCGCGAGATCCTAGTGTCTTCCCAACACACACCCTATCAGCGAATACTCTTTCGCGACCGTAATGGGGACGTGTGTGACTTCGAGCTTGCCACTGTCACCTTCGGAGTCAATTGCACACCGTACCTCGCCCTTCGCGTCATTAAGCAACTCGCACAAGAGGTGCGCCCACAGTTGCCAATGGCAAGCGACATCCTGGAGAGCTACATGTACGTGGACGACGTGCTGACTGGTGCGCACACTCAGTCGCCGGCAATCTCCGCCATTTCAGAATTACGCAAAGCTCTCGATTCCTCAGGGTTTCCACTCCGAAAGTGGACAGCGAACCACAAGGGCGTACTGCGCGACATTCCGGTCGACCACCTACTTCGAGCTGACTTCCTAGAGCTTGACGAAAGTAGCATCGCTAAGACATTGGGGATCCGATGGCAAGCCAATGCCGATGAATTCTACTCTGCACCTCCCGAAGTACTTCAGCGGGAGTCCTGCACGAAGCGCAATGTGCTATCGCAGATTGCGCAGCTGTTCGATCCAGCGGGATGGCTTGCCCCCTTTGTCATCCAAGCCAAAATGTTCATGCAGGAAATTTGGCTAAGAGAGTTAGGGTGGGATGACGTCCTCCCTAGCGATCTATCTCACACCTGGGAGACGTTCCTGAAGAGTTTTCCGGCCATCCAGGATATCCGCATTCCGCGGTGGTTGCACGTTTGTCCAATGGCCAAGGTGCAGATACATGGCTTCTGCGACGCGTCTCAACGTGCCTATGGGGCAGCGATTTACATCCGAGTTGAGCGACCGCAGGGCATTGTCTGTGCCCTTCTCACAGCTAAAGCCCGCGTGGCCCCCGTGAAAACGGTTTCATTGCCTCGACTCGAACTGTGCGGAGCCGTCCTTCTGACAGAGCTTTCCGAGGCCATCCTTCCACAACTGCCACTGGACACCAGCCAAGTATCCTTCTGGACCGATTCCACGATTGTGTTGGCCTGGCTGAACCGACCTGCATGCGATTGGACCACTTTCGTGGGCAATCGAGTAGCCAAAATCACTCGATGTTGGCCCAGCGAGCGATGGAGCCACGTCCGATCCGAGGACAATCCGGTCGACCTGGCCAGTCGAGGGCTAGGACCCACTGACCTGGTCGAAAGTGATATGTGGTGGCATGGCCCTGCTTGGTTGCGTGGTCCAAAATCGGAGTGGCCATGTCCGCGGGACTCAGTCCTTCAGACTGACCTGGAGAAGCGAGTCGTCAAGGTGCACCATGCCACCAGCAGCGCCTCCGACATCCTCAGCCGTTTTTCCGACCTCGGGCGCGCTCTGCGCGTGATCGCCTACGTTCGGCGGTTCACTCAGCGAGTTAAAGGGCAGACGACCCATGTCTCCAAGGAGCTGAACGGAAATGAGGTCGCTGCCACTCTCCAGGCGGTCACACTGACAACCCAACGCTTCCATTATGCTGGGGAGCATCGGTGCCTGCTAAACAAACAGCCACTCCCTACTACGAGTTCTCTTCTGAATCTTAATCCGTTCCTTGACCAGAACGGAGTCATGCGGGCATGTGGCCGAGTCCAAGCCTCGGCGTCCATGTCCTCCAACGAACGGCATCCAATCCTGTTGCCACCCGCATGTCTCCTGGTTCGCCTGCTGGTTCGATTCACCCATCATATATCGCTACATGGTGGGAACCAGCTGGTCATTCGCCTTATCCGGGAAACATACTGGATCCCTCGACTACGTCACGTAGTGAGGGCAGTGATTCATTCTTGTAAGGTCTGCGTCCTCCATCATAAACGACTCCAAACCCAACTAATAAGCGACCTTCCTGCATCACGAGTCACATTCTCCAGACCGTTCACATACACCGGAGTTGACTTCGCCGGCCCCTTCGACGTTAAAAGCTTCACAGGTCGCGCCTGTCGCATCTCAAAGGGGTATGTGTGCGTGTTCGTCTGCTTTTCCACGAAGGCCATCCACTTAGAGGCCACGTCCGACTTATCCACCGACACCTTCCTAGCCGCCTTCGCTCGTTTCGTGGCGAGACGAGGTTGTCCTCATGAAGTTCAATCCGACAACGGAAGGAATTTTGTCGGCGCGTCCCGCTCTCTGGCTGTGGATCTTCTCGAGGCACTTCGCACTCGGACTTCTGCGGTGTACAGCCAGCAGGGGCTATCGTGGCGGTTTATCCCTCCCGGAGCCCCACATATGGGGGGCTTGTGGGAAGCAGGTGTGAAGAGCTTCAAGGCTCTGTTCCAACGGTCGATGTGTACGTCCAAATACACATTAGAGGAGTTCGCGACCTTACTTTCGAAAATTGAGGCATGTCTTAACTCGCGACCAATCTCTCCTATGTCTGAGGATCCAACGGATCCGTTGGCCTTAAGCCCAGGCCATTTCCTGATTGGTGGTCCGCTACTATCCGTGGCAGAGCCAGAAATACAAGCGAGCGCCTCCTCGATCCTAAACCGCTGGCAACATCTCAAGGCTCTCAACCAGCAATTCTGTTCGCGCTGGAAGACAGAGTACCTGCGAGAGTTGCACAAGCGCAACAAATAGCAGCATCCGACAAGAGACCTCGAGGTTGGAGACCTCGTGGTGATCAAGGAGGAGAACATCCCCGCTCAGGAATGGCGTCCCGGCCGTGTGCAGAACGCGTATCCTGGAGCCGATGATAAGGTCCGTGTGGTAGACCTACTCACGGCCCGCGGCCTTATCAAGAGACCGATCACGATGGTGGTTCTCCTGCCTATGGAATCGGATGTCCTGTCCACCTACTCGCGCGGAGGCTCCGATTCATAAGCCTCCGTCCTTTTGTTCTGCTTAAATCCAACGTAGTTATCCGTACCCGTATCCGTACCCGTATCCGTATGCCAACCCATGCCAGCTCTTTACTAATGCTCCGGTGATTCCTTTCTTCATCCTAGTTTTTTCCAGAAGGCAGCTATGGCCCCTCAAACCTCATCACGTTCCCGATCCAGCCGCAGGTCGGATCGCTCACGGGCACGAGGAAAGACTTCCTTCCAGTGTCGAGTGTGTCCCGGAGTTCACCCGCTGAGGAACTGCCGGAAGTTTATCCGGTTGAGCGTCGAGAAGAGGCACCGAGCCGTACTCCTTCATCGGTATTGCTCGAACTGCCTGGCTCACGAGCACTCGGGCAAGGACTTCCGCAGTGGAGACCTATGTAAGGTGTGCTCCCGGAACTACCACACTCTGCTCCACCTGCCCGGGTCTCGGCGCCCTGCTGGCTCCTCTTCGGCTCCGTCGACTTCACCTCCGTCTCGGCGCCCTGCTGGCTCCTCTTCGGCTCCGTCGACCTCACCTCCGTCGACGTCACCTAAGTCTTCCCGCGCCAACCCACGCCCTCGTCTTCCGGTCAGCCGCCCTGTCGTTGGAAATCCGGTCCCGACAGCAAACTCCTTGCTCCAGCACCAGAGCATCAACGTCCTCCCGACGGCGATGGTGGTCCTCGCAGGCACTAAGGTGATGAGTGCGCTGATCGACCCCTGCACGCCGGTCAGCTGCATCGACGCCGAGGTGGCTAGGGAGCTGAAATTGCCCACTACTTGCATCGGGGACGAGCGGGTGTGCACCGCCATGATCCGGGCGAAGATAGGAGATTTTAAAGTGGAGGCAGTCTTCAAAATCGAGCCCCGTCTGCGCGTCCGTACGCCGATCCGTCAACTGAGCGACACCGTCCGTGCTCGTTTCGACGACTTGAGGTTGGCCAACGAGCAATTCCACAAGCCGACGACCATCTCGCTCGTCTTGGGTGCGGACTTGTATCCCAGGGTCATCCAACCTGGGTTCCTCGCCCGCGCAGACGGCCTTCCCGTGACGCAAAGCACGGTGTTTGGGTGGATCGTGTCTGGTGCATGCACGCAGACTTAAAAAATCTTTGCATTCCTGCAAGGGGGGGAGAATGTTCAGAGTGAGGATGGCGCTTGCGGGGCAACCACTTTGTGGGCATTCCAGCCACACATCGCTGTTAGCGTTCCAGCTACACAAGCGGTCGCCCTCGCTCTCGCCCTCGAGACAGTTTGCACTACAGTTTCCACTAAGTCCATCCCAATATTGGCCAATATCAGGCCACATTTTAATCTCTACTAATTCTACAACCGCATCTTTAATTACAGAGAGGCCTGCCGATCTCACTGTGCTCTGTCTGGCGCTTTTGAATGGCGGCTCTCTCTCTTCGTTTCCTGGGCCTACTTGCTTCACATCTACTGGTTGCCATGGAAGGAAGTCTACATGTCGACTCTGCAGCTGCTTTCAAATCTCACTCATAACCCTGGGTTGACAGTCTCTTGGCCCATAGCAAAGGTGTTCCAGTTTATTCCCGGAGGAGCTGTCGTTTCCCGTGTTGCAGTGCTAAAATGGCATCAGGAGCTACATCGAATCAGCCACAAGCGACGGCTGTGAAGCCCTTCAGCATCTGTGAAAGTCAGGCTTTCAACGGGGGGAGTATGTCTGGTTTCCCAGCTTCAAATTCCCCAACAAATCCCTCGAATAATAGCCAGTGGCGCAAAATAACGTAATTTCACATTTGTTTGCTATTTGCAATGCCCACTGCATATAAATATTGTATCCGCTTATAATTACTCAATCTAATAGCCTATGCAACCGTTCTTTCGTCTCTTCGACTCGTACCTTTCTCCTTTACTTTACTATCTCGCTATATCACTCTCTCGATCTATCAGCTCTCTCGTTCTCTCGAACACTCCCTCGCTCGCTATTTCGTAGCATCGCGTAGGGCACGGGCAATTCGGTCCGTCTGCCCTAACATGCCTTCGCAATGGTCATGATCTGGTCCAGCACTTGCATGCCTTTGCAATCTCTCGAACTTTTCTGCCGTCGCATATATACATACGCATATATTCGGTGACACACGAATCGCGGGCTATATATGCATCTCGTTTACAGCTTTCGTGCGCTATCGTTCTCTTTATCTATGCTGATCTCTCGCATTCTTTCTCTCTATCTATTGCTCGTACTCGGGTCAGCAGCAGCCCGAGCTTCTATCGCTTATTTTGCTCTCTCTCTCGCTTGCATTAGGGCACGGGCAATTCGGCCCGCCTGCCCTTTCACATTCTGTTATTGATCATCAGAACCGTCGGTCTTAATACCTTAAGCAATACGCGTACTGCCGCTACTAAACATTAACAAATTGATATTATAATAAACCTTCTCGGCTCTTTTATTAAAATTAGACCCTAAAACAATAGCTATTAAAAACGCTTAATAGCTTAACAATTTGTATTTAAAATGTTTGAAAATAATACAATCTGTTGGAACACTAGAAAACAGAATTCAGTTGCAGTCTCTTCCACTGAAGCAGAATATATGGCTTTGTTTGAAGCCGTGAGAGAAGCTTTATGGCTAAAATCCCCATTTAAAAGTATTAATATTGAATTAGATAAGATAATTATGAAGATAATCAGGGTTGTATAAGCATAGCTAACAATCCCTCATGTCACAAGCGATCTAAACATATCGATATAAAATATAATTTATCCAGAGAACAGATTGAGAATAAATAAATAAAAGTTCAATATATACCCACAGATAAGCAGCTAGCAGACATATTCACTAAACCATTGCCTGCGGTTCGTTTTGTCAGCTTGAGAAGCCAGCTGGGACTTCAAAAGCCAAACTGACAAAAGGCCATAGTAGAGTCCATAAAACGCATTCTGAGACAATTCTCAGAGGCGGGAGGACGTACATCAAATGATTTGATAAAATCACTATGGACTCAAGCACAAGAAGTCCATTTTAATATCCACGAGGAATATGATAACCCAGAAGAAGGAGGATACAACATGGAAGCCTACCTAGCTCTGGAAAAAGAGGTACAAAGAGTATTGGCAAAACCAGCCACATCAAACAATAATGACGTGCAGCTTCCACGCATCAACATTCCCAAGTTTGATAGGGACATACTAAAATGGTCCCAGTTCTATGACCTGTTGTCATGTATGATACATGAAACAAACATGCCCACAGTACGGAAGATGTGGTATCTAAAAACAACCGTAACTGGAGAGACAGAAAGATTAATCCGACATATCGATCTAAAGGAAGAAAATTATGTGAGCGCCTGGGAAATTCTGATTGATACATACAACAATTCCATAGACGTCGCTAGCACGGTATTAAACCGCTTCCTAAATTATAATACAGTTAATGACGACTCCAAGTCCTTAAAAGAGTTGTACGTTACAACTATCGAATCCCTGGCATCACTAAAGGGATTAGGCATCAATATATCCGCCTGGGATCCAATATTGATTGCCGTCATCAAAAATAAACTGGATGTCACTAACAGAGCCTTGTACGAGCAATCATTGGGAAGCTTAAAGGAAGTACAGGCCTTGGACACAATGCTTCAGTTCCTAGAACAAAGAGTTCGAGTTCTAGGAACAGGCAAAAAGACACAAATGTCAAGGAAAGAGCCAAAAGGCACAACATGTGCAACAGTAAACACTGGAAAATCGAAGACGCCTCTCTGCTCATTCTGAAAGTAGGCAAGCCATTGGCTCCACGGATGCGATGAGTTTCGCTCCAAATCACCATCAGAACGACTATATTGGGTACAAAAGCATAAATTGTGTGTCAAATGTTTTAAAACAAGCCACAACACAAATGCATGGCCAGGTGGGACATGTTTCAAGTGCGACAAAAAACACAATACACTACTGCACATGGACCTACCATCGGGCGTAAGTACAGAACCAAGAGCACCGACGGTTGGCGCAGCAAGTAACTTTTGCTACAGCAAAAGTAGCAGCAGAAGCAAACAGAGACAGAGAGCCAATTTCAGAGCCTTGGTGGATTCAGGATCACAGATCAACCTGATCTCTGAACGAATGGCATCAATGTTGTCAGTAAAACTTAATGATACAACATTACGCATCGAAAGAATTGGAGGTCAGTCAAAGACCAGCAATTGACCACTGGCAGATCCAGATTTCTATAAACCGGGAAAAGTCTGCTCATCGGAGCAGAGCACTATTATTCGTATTGGATTTTACAGTATAATCTCCGAAGTAAAGAAGCACGCCAAATTTGTATTTAAATATTCCTTTATTCCTTTAATTATTTTCGACTCGACTTGCCACGCCAATTATGTTTTCAAGAGTGAGCTGAACCGAGAAACCAGCAGAAGGCCGGTTGATCTCCAATACATACGCATTACTGTAACGCAATGGTTGTCTCGCTCTAACTATTTGATCCCTGACTATTTTGTATGTCACAGCAACACATACAAGAGTACGAAATATATGTATTGTGCAATACTCATAATTATTGCATCAGCAATCTAAACATATATATATATATATATTTGGGCTATTCCTGTTGTTGCTGTTGCTGTGAAGCCAACACACCTCCTCAAAACAATCATGGATCATTCACTATTAAGTCAATCCTAATACTAAAGTGACAAACCGAGCATTCTGGGCAGTGTTACATTATTTGGTCCAACATTTGTTGAATAGGTTAGGGAAACCCAGGAAAACCTAACCAGACCAAAACAAATTCAAGCAAACAAAATTCTTTCAATGTTACTTTACATTTTAAGACTAAATATAATTATATATATTGATATGGTATATTCGTATATGTACTTAACAAAATCAGCTTAGCTTTTTCAAAGTTTTGCTTTCGTTTCTAAATCAAAAAAAATGTTGTTCAACAACAAAGAAAAATTGACAATTTAAATTGTATTATTATTATTTGGTATAATCAGTTCGTTAGACCAATTTGACTTCTCAGGTCAGCAAATCGGGGTCCAGGTAAAGGTT